AAGACAGGATGACGATGCTGCCTCTGTCTAGCAGTATTGGTAGCTCACCACCAACTTCGTCCGAGCCTAGTTGAGCGCACGCGTGAGTAAGCAATGGTGGAGTGGGACTGGCCACGATTAACTCGCATACCGCCTAAGATGCCTGAAGGATAGGCGTGTGCCATGTCAAGATGATGTCGTCTCATGTGGTCAGGCGACGCGAACCGGAGGAGACGATCGTCACGAAGTGTGGTCGGTGGCTCGGGTGGAGCGGGGTAGGGTAGAATGTACAGACACCCATTTTCCTCGTTCATATCGTCAAGAGCGCACCACACCGATACGTAGGGCGGCACTTGTTCCTGTTCTAGGCCATGCACGTACTGGCTGTCCTGCATTTCGAGGCAACCAGAGGGTAAACAAGCAGAGTGTCCTGCCGCACAGAGAGAGTGAGAGGCCCGAGCGCACCTGGTGCATAACGAACTTGGATTCTTCGCCGGCGTGAGGTGTCTTCACTATGTACTGCTCGTTGAACTGGAGATTGTGCAAAAGAGTTTGCGCTCGGACCATCAAAAAACAAAGCACATGATCGAAGTGAGAATGCTGGTGACGTACCAGATAGAGGCCTTCTCCCATGAGCTGTTGGAGAATGTTGCATAGCATCGACCCGAAGAGGAGTTCGGCACCGATCCCAGGGCCGTTGAACTTACTTCGCATGGAGAGGTAGTCATCACGCGTCAGGCTGTCGCCTTCTATCTGCGTGCCGGTGACCAGCGTTCCCAGCGGTTCTGCGTGGGCGGGTGGGCAAGTCGGTGCGGTGCGGTGGTGGCAACATCGATATCGAAGGGGGTGGGGACAGGAGTACCGAGAATGCACCCGGCGCCCTGCTCGATGAGATTGTGCCGCCGGTAGGTGCGCAGAAGGCGCCCGCACTCAGTGCACAGCGCGTCCAGCACCGTGCCTGGCAGGACACTGTACAGGACAAGGAAGCCTCGGGCATGGAACTTGCGCAGCTGCTCCGGTGACAAGGCCGCCATTCTTGCGATGGGGGGGGGGGCAGCGCCAGTCTGAAGGCTTCTGAGCCTCTGAATTTATTAGTGTGTTATTCTTATTTTAATCTTTGAATAATCTTTTTGCGTAGTAGCCGTTTATTGTTGATGTCGACTAAACCACAAAAATACAAATCAAAAAGGAGGCGCAACGATCACAAGAACAATAAAAGAAAAGAAAACGACCCAAGATGGAGGCAGAGAGCTTTACCACCCCTGCCCCCGCCCCCACCCCAATGTCGAATGGGGTCGTCGCGCCCGCCCCGACTGCCCCGACTGTTGGAACAATCAACAACGATCAGCCAGCTCCCATCGTGCCCGCGACTCCAGCCAATGTTCCTATGCCATCGCCGGTCCCATCTTCCACGAACGTAGTTCCTGCCATCCCCTTTCCTTCGATGGTGGCGACCCCACCTGTCGTGAGGAGGGACGATGACCTTATGAAGCCCCCTACCACTGAACACCGTGGGCTCGATCTTCCCAAAAAACGAGGCCGCCGACCTGCCGAGCCCACTGCTGAGCCCCTACCTCTCCAGCCCCCCGTCAAGAGAGCCAGGGGAAGGTACCACAGTCTATCAATTTTATTAGTTTTATTAGTTTAAACTTGTATTTAATCCTTCCAGCAAGTATTTAATCCTTCCATTTTGCTCCATCTTTACGGTAATTTGAATTTTATTGAGAGTGGTGGCCAAAATTCAACCAAATCAATTTCCTACGCTGTACAAAGCTAGTAAATGGTGACATCGCCACATTATTATACATTTTACATCTCGAAGTTGCGCTTACGTCGCCAGCGAGGCGGCAGTTACCTTTTCCGGCTATTTTGTCTTATTAATTCGCCTTTTCCTTCCCTTTCCTTTCAGGCCGAGGTCGGTTGACTCTGCGTTGGCTAACGCTGCGGCTGCGGCGGCAGCGGCTGCCGGTGCCGCTGCTGGCCCGCCGCTGCCCAAGAAACGCGGTCGCCCACCAAAGATTAGGCCGCCCGTGAGCGAGGAGGAAGGTGCATACCACAACCCTGCTCTATCCACGTCTTGATGTTGTTTCCACTCTCTGTTGACCACCTCTCGCACAGCAGCCAAGGGAGAGAATGGGCCGCCCAAGAAGCGTGGAAGGCCGAAGAAGGAAGACGCCGAGAGGTACGCACAAACGCGCCCATTCGCTCTTTGGTAGTGCCTGACCCCTTGCTTCGGCCCCGCATGCAGGTCCAACCGAGACCAGTTGATCGCGGTGCAAGCCCAGCTCACCGCTCTCAAGACCGAAGTGAAGGAACTCAAGAGCCAGCTTGGCGAGATCAAGCAAGTCATTGTCAACCTGACCACCAAACAGAGCTAACCAGCTTCTAAGGTGCCTTTCGCCCCTCTCTCCTGTTTTTATTCGTGTATGGAGCATTCTCTCACGGCCTTCTTCGGTCCAGCAGCGCGTTCGCGGAGGGCACACGACGAACACAAACCCAATTTTCAAGAGTGAAAAGTGGTTATCCAGTTGTTGACGGCTTTGTAGTTATAGGTTGTTGAAGAGATTAACACACAGCCACTCACGCACATATCTCGCACCACGTCCTCGCGCCACCGTTCTCTTTTCTGTGGCAAAAGTGGTAAGCCCACACCTGTTCGCATTCGTTCGTAAGTTCTTCCTTTTGCCTTGACTGGGGCAGGCGCGTTACTGTACTGGTGCCGGAGTGGCCGATGCACTTCATCTCGGGGTTAGGTTGCCCTGGCCGTTGGTTGGCCTCTCCACCGTCGACAACACCATAGACACTCCCTCCCACCCCAACGGTGTGGACTCGGTGTACCTGTAGGCTCCATCGGTCAAAAGTGTCGACGTAAGGAAATGGCATTTTCCCAGTTATTACCCGACGCAATACAGGCCGCAACGAATCAGAGGTTTTTTTTGTCGGTCGTTTCTCTCTTTTTTTGAGACGTCTCAACCGTTGTGGTTGCCTCCGGAGACGAAGGTAGACTGGTTTGGTTCGCGTCGCGTGGTCTCTGTTCGACAGCGTGTGCTTGGCCCCTTCAGCCTGATTCGATCAGCCCTCGCGCATTGACGAGCCCTCGACGATCCTGCCTTCTACGACTGCGATACATGCCGCGAAGGTGGTAATCGGAAACTTGATCTGATTCTTCCATCTCGTTCGTTTCGTTAATCGGGCCGCCCGAGAAGACTCTCTCTACTTTCGCCTGGGAGAGCTCGATTCGAAACGAACTCGCCCTGGTCTACAGTTCCTCTTCGACCAGCGGCATCATCATGAATATAGACCTCCATGGATCCCACGCAGATTGCCCCATCCTGCTGGCCTGCGCCGAGAGCGATAAATCCTCCTCCTTCGGCTCAGTTCTCATTGAGACCCGCACGATGAGCTTCGACGACATCAACGACTGCGAGAGCCTCTTCTCTGCTACCTCTCCCTTCTTCCTCCATTCACCAGCTTCCACCTCTCCATTCGGCTCCTCCAACAAGGCCAAATCTTTCGTCCTCTCTTGTTCTTCCACACTTCGAAAGCGAACAAAGGCCTGGCTACACGACGCACGACATGCGTGGTGGCCGCTCGTTGCCGATCTCGCTCCCAAGCTCCAACGAATTTCGACCCTCGCGTCCAGCTTCGGCAAGGACATCACGCGTGCCCTCGTCCTCATCACCTTCGCCACCTGCATCATCCTCTTCGGCGTCCATTTCTCCTCTTTCCAGCATCTTGTTATTATTTTTCTTCAATGGATCCGAACGCTCGGCATGCTCGGAGGCATTATCTACGTTTTCGCCACCGCTCTCAGCAATCTCGTTTTCATCCCAAGTACGTCCATTCTCATCGCAATTTAGTGCTACGGCTGGAGTCAGCCCCTGTGGACTTGACTAATTGACCTTCACACATCCACGCACAGCAACCCTGGCGACATTGGCGGCGGGCTACATGTTCGGTCTCTGGTTTGGCTTCTTGTTTGCCTACGCTGGTTGCTGCTTGGGTACTGCAGCCGCTCATCTTGTGTGGAGCGCATCGCTTTCTGTGTGCTGACCCGCAAATCGTGTGATTGCGCGCCATGCGTAGGTGCGGTGATTGCGTTCGTGCTCGGTCGCACGTTGTTCCGATCCTGGGTCTCATCTCTCGCTCGGCAGTACCCTAAGGTTGCGCTCATGGATCAGGTACCAGATTCCCGCCTTGTTGATCAACAACGCGATCTCGAGGAACTCAGCCTCCTTGGCACCTCGATTGGCCTTTCATGTCTAAGCGTTCCTCGTCGTGTTCGTGAAGGCCATCGGGAAGAAGGCGGTCGGCTGGAAGATAGTGCTTCTTCTACGCCTCTCGCCCATGCTCCCCTACAACGGTAGCGTCATTCATCTGACATCTGCTCTCCCCTTCTCGTGCGAATAACTTACACACCTCCTCACCAGTGCTCAACTACGTCCTGTCCGTCACGCGCGTTCAATTCATGGACTACTTCCTGGCCTCTACCATCGGCATGTTTCCTGGTATGACACTCCACGCCTTTCCTTGGCCCGAGTTTTTGTTGTGGTGGTCGGATCTCGAGTTCTGACGCGTCATGTTCAACAGGCGTGGCGGTGTTCACCTATTTCGGAAGCATCTCGCACGACCTCTCGTCGATCTTCTCCTTCTCGTCCAAGGGGATGAGCGGCATGGACGACGACGGCAGCCAGACCCTGATCATCTACTCGGGCTTCTTCTTCAGCGTGGTCGCCTTCGTGCTGCTCTCCTACTTCGCCGCGAACGCGATCAAGAAGGAGCTCAAGAAGATCGAAGAGGAGAACGAAGCCAACGAGGCTAAGGACAAGGAGCTCGACCAACTCGAACAGCAGCGAGAAAAGCTACAGGAGGAGGAAGCGGCCAAGGCTAAGGAAGCCGACGCGGCAATGAACTCGACGGGGCAGGTCATCACGCTGCGACAAATCGACGAGGCGCTCTTCGAGGTGCGGAACGACACCCACGGCAGCGTGGTGGCCAAGGACGAGAGGCCCGTGTTCGAGCAGAACCGGAGCTGCGGCATGCGGAAGAACCTCTCGTGGGTGGACTCAAGCATGGCGTGAGCGCGGCCACCAACCACCACCATCATCGACTACTGTCGAGCAACATCGCGAAAACGACGAGCCGGTACACATGGTCACGGACGTCGACACGGAGAGAGAGAGAGAGAGAGGAGAGAGGAAACGGGTCGAAGCGTCATGGCGAGCCACCACACAGACACAACGCGACGCGACGACGGGAGAGGTTACAGGTTTTTAGTTTTTGCGATCATTTTTGAGGAGGAGAGAAGCGACGCGACACGAGTGACGATGAACGAGCCACCGAAGAAATGCGAAGCGACGCAAGGAGGAGGAGGAGAGGCGGGCCAAACGACGTATGATACCACAACCACACCATAACGGAGCTCTCTGTTATTTTATACATAACACCTTTTCACCAGAGAGGGACAATAAATTCACTCAACCTAACAACTTAGACCTACAAGGCAGCGGAGTGGGAGGCTTGACGACAACCTGGGAGGAAGCTGAGGATCTGATGAAGCGTTGGTGTGGTAAGCCGCGAACTGTTCACGAGGTAGGCCCAGCCCGATTATCCGCTGGACTCAACAACAGCCAAAGTGACAGGCAGCCGGAGGAGGATGAAGTTCTTCAGTGGCAAAATTTTGTTCTTAGTTCAAGGGGGCGTGGACAGGCGACGAGCGCACCATCCACTCGACCACAAATTATGCTGTCTGCTTACCCCGTGGGGCAGCAGTAGCCACTACCACGCACAACCGACGTGCAATGGAAGGGGGTAGTGTCTAAAAGGTCCGCCTTCGTGATCGCAGACCTTTCCAGCAAGGTACGTATGCTTTCAATGATGGCCGCCTCCCACTCTTATACTGCTGCCACCTCACCTCCGCTTGTGGGATGGCAAGCTCCGGAATGATGGCATTTCCTTTATTTTCCCTGATTTCCTTTCTAGAAATAAAATAGATTCTACGTTTCGGCGAGCAGGGGCAGCATTAATTCATCTTTGGGCACAATATCGGAGATGACAACTCCCTCCCCGAACAAGAAGCTATCAAACAACCTCATGGGCATGAAGGTACGCGATTCGCATCGGCAATTGCGAATTTTTTTTAATGCAGCAATTTTAATCGTAATGCTGAATGGATGGCAGTTCATGCAACGCAAACAACAAGCGGATTTGATCGCCCAACAACTAAAAGAAGAGGCCAGCCAGCGGGAAGCGGCCCACTGGGTTGTGAGCAATCCACAAGCTGCCATCATCCCTCCCACGTACAGTCACTGTTCACGTCCCTCCCTTTGCTTCACTCCACTCTCGATGCTGCCCCTTGTTAATGTCCATGTTGTCCACAGGGCCGTGGTGGCCGACGAGCAAGTTGTCACCGGCGTGCGAAGCGGGCGCATGTCCTTCGGCCAGTTCAACCCGAGCATTGAGGTGCGTTTGCGTGTGGTGCCTTCGTCCGTCCTGGCCTGTGCCTAAGCACCCCCTTCGTTTGGCAGGAACTGCACCACGGACCCAAGGAAACTAAGATCGAGGAGAAGGACACACTGGAGTGGTCGGCCGTCTACCGAAACCAAGCAAAGGCCAAACAGGAGGAGATGGGGCGGTACGCTCATTGCAGACCGTGTGTCGTGTGTGCCGTGTGTGTGTCGTGTGTCGCGCGTGGGTCCGTGGCTGAATGCTCTCCATTCGGAATGTGCAGGAAGAGCATGTACGGCCGGAACCGAAAGCGAACAGGCAATGCCGATTCCGATGACGAGAAGAAGGGCGCGCAGCAACCCGACGCCAAGCGGGCGAAGAAGGACAAGACACCCAAGAAGGAGAAGAAGACCAAGAAAGAAAGGAAGAATTGATGGCGGCACGCATACAATGAAAGCCTTCACTCAAACCACGGTGCACGCCTCCCTCCCTTCGTCACAATTGGCATCATCACCATCATCTAGGTGCCATCTTGATATCATTCATTGTGAGGGGTGTGGGCGGGCGACTTGCGCTCCGCCCACGATAACCACAAATTGCGCTGTCTGCCGTGCTGGGCAGTGGCCACCATCGCGCTCTGCCCTCAGTGCAATGACAGGGCGACGGTGGTCAAACGGCCAGCTGCGTTCGTGAGCACAGAGGCCGTTCCAGACTGGTACGTATGACTTTGCCCTTGGCCCCGCCGGGGCATACCACCGTCACCACAGCCCTCAAGTCTTGTGGTTCAGCACAAAGCGCCACCTTTTCCGCCGAACCAAATTTTCGTAACGCGTTTCGAGACGCAAACAGATTTTGAAAACGCATTTCGACACGCCAGATCTGTGGTGGCATGCCAGGTATGTTGCCATTTCCCGCTTTCGCGGCCGAAATTCGAACCCCACCAGAACAAGAACTCACCGACATCACCCCCTCTATCCAAAAGATGTCGCGTCAGCGAGCTGGTCACGTCCACCTGGCCCACTCTTTCTTATTCTCGCATAACACTACGACGCGAGACGACAGCTCTGCTGCGATTTGCGCCACTTCATTCATTCAATCTTGATCGAAAATTTTGAAAAGCAATTTCTTAAGAACACTCATGTCGCGCGCCTCTGGTCTCGCCTCCAAGATGAGGGAGTTTCCCTTTGAGGACGTCACCAGCGCCGGCATTCCCCTGTCCCAGCTCGTCCAAGGCACGTGCCCACGCTCGTTGCTACTTCCAGCTTTGGCGTCGTCTTACGTTGGCTCTTGCACTTTTTGTAGAGAACTTTGCGTCCATCTTGAACGCTGTGGGAGACGCTGAGGTGGTGATGATCGGCGAAGCCACACACGGCACGGAGGAGTTCTATCATCTCAGGTAACCACCACGTCCCATAACGAAGCGACCGCACGCGCATGTGCTGATCGCGACGCACACATGCGCGTTATGCACAACACCAACAGAGCCGAGATAACAAAGAAGCTGATCGAGGAGAAGGGCTTCTCCTTTGTCGCAGTCGAGGGAGACTGGCCCGACGTGTACCGCATCAACAGGTCAGCATTCGACTCCCACTTTTTTGTGTGTGATGCTTCTTCTTGCACTCAACCAGGTGGCTGCAGATACGTCCAGCTCGCACAAGCGGAACACGAGGACGCGAACGTGGTCGAGGCCCTGGGCGACTTTCAGCGCTTCCCCACCTGGTTCGTCTTCCGCACCTTTAACAATGAAGCTGACATTACTAACCTCTGCCTCTTCGCTTCGTTGGTCTGCGTCTTGCGTCTGTCCAGGATGTGGAGGTAAAGTCTTCTGGCCTGGCATGCGCGTGGCCTCCATGAGGCGAGTTCACAGGGCTAACACAAGAGCTTTCTTCACCACCTTCTCCAGGAACCACATCATGGTGAACTTTGCCGAGTGGCTCAAGGACTACAACAGCCGGATTGAAGACTACAAGAAACGGTGCAACCTCACAGCACCACCACCTCGCAATTCTTACTTGCCTGCTGGTGCTTTGTACGATCGTCCAATGCTGACCGCCGGCGGTGCCCTTTGTACCACTTTTGCTGCAGTGTGGGCGTGTATGGCCTTGATCTCTACTCCATGTACACGTCTGCGCATGAGGTCATCCACTACCTCGATGACATCGACCCGTCCGCGGCCAAGCTCGCCCGGCGCAGGTCAGTTTCTTTGTTCTTCTTCTCCGATTCTGCTTCTTCGACCTTTGCGCGAGCGCGGTACCAGTTCGCTCAACCATGAAACGCTCTCCAGGTACGGCACGCTGGACCAATTCAAGGACGAGCCGCACGACTACGCCGCAGCGGTCATGCTGGGCATCAGCCCGTCGTGCGAGAACGCAGTCGTGCAAATGCTGGTCGACATTTGCCGCAAAGGTACCCTTCGCTTGCCCCCCCCATAGACTGGTGAGCGCGCACGGCCTCGTTACGAACACGCCCTCTTTCTTTCTCTTTTCTCTTTCTCTTGTCTTCTCGCTATTTTCATTGCGTTAAACCCTTCAGGTCCAGAATACCTCTCCAGCAAGGGCATGGTCGACGGCGAGCAGCTCTTCTACGCGCAGGAGAACGCCGTGGTGGTCAAGGACGCCGAGGAGTACTACCGCAAGGCCTACGCCGGTGGCGCCGTCACCTGGAACCTGCGCGACCGGCACATGCACAACACTCTCAAGGAGATCCTGCAGCACTACAACGAAAAGCGGGGCTGGCCCAAGCCCAAGGCGGGTACGTCGCCCCCCCCCAATCGGTCATCATGGTCTTGTACTAGTCTATCTATTATGGCCACCTGCGCCTCAACCCTGGTCGCCCGCTCACTCTCCTCGTGTGTGCATCGTGGAATTCGTGTGCAGTGGTGTGGGCTCACAACTCGCACCTGGGCGATGCCAGAGCCACTTCCGTTTCGCAGATGGGCGAGTTCAACATCGGACAACTGGTACAGTGTGTCCCCTCTTTCTCCGCCGTGCGCATCGTAACATGGTTCTAATGGCCCGTGCGCACGCCCAGGTGAGACAAACGTTCGGTTTGAACAAGTGCTTCAACATCGGCTTCTCCACCTACCAAGGCACCGTGAGGGCAGCCACCAAGTGGGGCAGGTCAGTCGGCCATCTCTTCTGTGCTGTTCTGTGCCCCCCCCCTCGCTGCGTGTCATGCGCTGACTTCCCTTTTTCCGCCATAGACCGGGAGAAGTGATGGAAATCAACGAAGCGCGCCCCGAGTCCTACGAGCATTTGTTCCACACTGCGGCTCTGAGGGCCACCCAGCAAGGTTCCCTTCTCCCGTGAGCTCACTTGCTACCTGTGTGTTGTGTGTGTGTGTGTGTGTGAATTGCTCACCCGGTCTGCGTCGCGATGGACACAGAAGAGACCAAAAAGAAGCCGCAGAAGGACAAGAGCAAGGCCGAGGGCGAAGGCGAGGAGGAGATGGAGATGGAAGAAGGCGAAGAAAATGAAATGGACTTTGCCGTCGTCCTCAGGAGCAATTCCAGCGAAGTACCCGGTAATGTCAACTCTCCAACCATCTCTGGTCTTCGTCTTGTACCTCGCTCTTGTGCTCTCTCTAACCACCGCCACACACGCACACACACACACACCGCCACATACACACATACACACACATACACACCACACAGTTGACCGGACTCTGGTAAAGCTGCTCAAGGAGAGCAGGCTCGAGAGGGCAATCGGAGTGCAGGTACACTGCTGTTCACCCCTTCTCCCAACACGAAGTGTGCCGCGGCGCCTGATACGTCACTCACCCCCGTCGCCGCGTTCTTGATCACCAACAAAACAGTACGTGAAGGACCCGAGGAAGGAGATCCACGCCCACTACTTTGACGCGATCCTGCCCGATCAGTTCGACGTTGTGATACACATCGACCGCACAAGCGCCCTCCGCCCCCTCGACTAGTTGTCTCCTCACCTCCTCACCCCCCACCATCCGTGGATTAGCTCCTCTTCTCTCCTCTTCTCTCCTCTTCTCTCTTTTGGTGTGCGTAAAACAGTGTTTCTCCTTCTTCTTCATTCATGTTTGGGACATCGAGTTTCGCGAGTCTTCTACAAGGGCACGCCATCCACCAGCAAACGTCTCCTGAAGGAGCGCGACCAGGCCTTCAGAGACGTCGTCGATGTGGTATGGCACACAGCGATGACGCGCACTGGGGCCGACACGTTGTAGGGTTGGCAGTCGCCAGAGGCGTAGGGCTCGCTTACGTGCAGCAGCTCGTCCCACACAACCGGCGTCGGTGGATGTGTCAGCTGCAGGGGCTACAACCCCGCATCAGCGCTGGGGTAGAGATGTGGAAGAATCCCAGAACACGTTCGATCAAAAACAGCAATTGGGTTGCCAAGATCAGTGGACAAGCAGAGTGGCGCAGTGGAAGCGTGGTGGGCCCATAACCCACAGGTCGATGGATCGAAACCATCCTCTGCTAACCCTTTTTGTGTTTCCCCCTCAACCATCCTCTTCTGCTTCCCTCTCTGTTTGGTCTCTACCGCGCAGGCTGAAGCCATTGGTCGGGAAAATCTATTATTGTACACAAAAGAGCGAAGCGAAAAGAGAGCTCTCCAGCACTTTGATCAAGGAGTGGGAGTCCAGTAGGACGAGGGTGTGGGCCAGTTGTCGGCCACCGTGCAGAAGCCGTCGGCCGTGGTGGTGCCCGCGGGGCAGGTGGCCGTGATCTCGTACTTCTGGCTGTCCTCGATGCCCAGGATGTGGGCGCCGTCGCGCCTGAACGTGCGGTTCGGGTCCGCCACCAGGTTGTGGAGCTTGAGGAAGAGGTGCCTGCCGTTGAAGTGCCACTTGTAGCCGTCGCCGGCCCACACCTTGGCCGGGCTGTCCACCTGGGTCGTGTTGCGGCGGTAGCCGGTCCACCAGGTCGAGTTGACGTAGACCTGGAACGTGGTGCCGGCCGGGTAGGGCAGGGCCAGGTACACGGTGCGGTTGGTCATCAGCATGGCCACGCCCACGCGGAGGAACTGCGGCGCGCCCTTGTCCAGCTTGAAGTACCAGCCGGTGCCGTCGACGCCCGAGATGCCGGGCCACTGGGTCACGGCCGCCGACGTGTTGCGGCCCTGGGTCTCCGTGAACTCCGGACCCCAAAGCGCAGTGTAGCCGACGTGCGTCGTGTTTCCCGGCTGTGTGTCGTAAGACAGAAGAGATGGTGTCAGTCGGACGTGTTGTGTTGCGTGCGGTGTATGTGCGATGATGGATGGGTAGGGCATGTGCGTACACTGCCAATGAAGTTGTTGCGCGGGACGGCAAAGTTGAGGGTGGAGATCTCGCGGGTGCCCTTGGGGCAGGCCCACACGTTCCACTCCTTCTTGAGGAAGCAGGCCGAGCTCCACTTGTACCAGTTGGTGGTGGCGCTGCCCAGGATGTAGGCCTTGCCGTCGTTCTTGCCCACCACGCTGCCGTCAAAGTCCAGGATCGAGTAGTAGCGGCTCGACCCTGTGTCTCTGTTCTTGATGTGAACCCGCATCGAGTCGTCGCAGTTGTCGAACCTCAGGTTGGTCGTAGCCGCGATTTGCTGTGTGCGGGCATCGAGTGAGACACGCGCCACGACACACACGACACGACACGACGCGACACGATCAGGGCGCACCTGAGGCTTGTATTGGTCGCTATGGGTCATGCCGAGCAGGACGACCTGGTTGGCCTCGGGGTCGCCGGTGTAGCCGGGAATGGACTTGTAGTTGCGGAAGGTGATGTTGCTGAGAATGGCCGACGACCAGGTGTCGTAGAACTGGAAACCTGTGTTGAGTGGAGGAATGTGAAGCGTCTTAGACGAATCAACCCATGCATTCCTGAAATGTCGAGGAGGCTGGGGTGACGAACCGCTGCTCTTGGGGAAGTCGAGCGAGTGGTTGCTGTGGGCGTTGATGATGGCGTTGTTCATCCAACTCTGCGAGAACAGCTGGCCGCTGCGCACAATGTCGTGCGCCTCGTAGCCGCGCACCTCTGGCCGGTCGCCCCAGTGGTTGACGCCCTTGTTGCACAGGAAGGCCTTCACGTTGGTCAGCTTGAGCCACGTCTGCGTCCCGTTCTGGAAGTAGGTCTGGCGCTCCTCGCGGCCCGTCAGATAGGTCTGCACGCCGTCCGTGTCGTACCAGAGCCTGCCGCCCACGTACAGGCAGCCGCCATACACAAAGAACGAACCCGACGAGTGCATCGAGTTACCATCGAATTTCTGTGCGTGTGTCGTGTCGTGTCGTGTCGTGTGTGCGTGTGCGGTTTGATGTGAGTGAAGGCGAGTAAAACTGGGATAGGAGTGCGGGCGCGTACCAGGGCCGGGCGTTGGTCGGGCTTGACGTTGGCGTAGCGCGGATTGGTCCTGGCCAGCCCGGTGGGACCTGGAAGGTTGGGGAAGGCGAACACGGACCAGCCGCCCGACCCCGTGTTGCCCACAATCGTGTTGTACGCGTTCGTGATGTAGTACGCCGACGCCGCCACGTCCGCCGGGAGCAGCAGGTCGGCCGCGGCCTTGAAGGTCTGGCCCTCCTGCCCGCCGCCGGCGGCCTCCTGCTTGATGCAGTGGATATTGGCGCCGAGGTTGAACGACAGCGTGTTGTTCTCCTCGACGCCCTCCTCCAGGTAGTAGCAGTGGCCCCACGCGTTGAAGGCCACGTTGCGGGTCACCAGCGCGTCGTGGGTCTGGTGGAGGGTGAAGCAGCGGAAGAACGAGCGCTCAACGGCGCAGTCCTTGATGTGGCACGTCGGGCAGTTGCCCACCAGATGGAAGTGGAGCGGGTAGCTGCCGAGCACGTTCTTCTGGCCTCCGCGGTACACCCGCACGCCCGAGAATCGACCCACGCCCATCACCTGTGATGGTCCCACCGTCACAGCCCAGGTCAGTCGGTTCGTCAACCGCTGTGCCATGTGGGGGCCACGTACGCGGACTTGGGCGCCGAACTCGTCGTTCTCTGAGCCTGCGTCGCCCTGCACGACAATGCGGCGCGACAGGAGCGCGACTTCGGCCTGGGCGCCAAAAGAATGAAAGAGATCAATCAATCTCTTTCGTTCTTTCGTGACCATTGGGAGTCATCACTAGAGGCCAATGTGGCACATACCTGGTATTCCTGGCCGGCGTAGTGGGTGAAGTCGAGGGGCTGGGTGAATTGGACGATCTTGCGGTTGGAGGAGACGGCGGCGATGGTGCGCACTTCGTTCTGCGGGTCCTCCTTGTCCTTGTAGACCGTCGTGGTGACCACCACCTGCTGGCCGACCTCCCAGTTGACGGCCTCCTGGAGGTAGACGCGGTCGTCCTGGGTGCGCGCCGTCGCGGCGAGGCGCGTCCAGGTCGGGTGGAACTGCTTGCCGTGGATGTCCACCGTCGAGCCTGCGATGTCATGCCACGTCAGCACACTCTCTACATTCAGACAAATTCCACACACATACCGACGTAGGAGAAGATGCCCTTGTCGCCTCCGGCGACGGCGCCCGCTCGGGTGCCATTGAAGGTGAGGGTGATGGACGACGAGAGGCGGCAGGTGGGCGAGCCGATGCTGAGCTTGCCCGAGACCTTGATCGTGCGCAGCTTGAGCGCGATGGCGGTGTCGGCGAACACGAGCTCGCTGCCGGCGGGAACGACGATGGACTCAAAGTAGACCGGCTCGCTGCCGCTGCCGGCCGGCAGCGAGCAGGCGGAGATGAGGACCGAAGAGTTGGCGGGCAGGGTCACGATCGAGCCCGGCTTCGGCACGCCAGCGCTGCCCCACGTGCTGGCCCAGTGCCACGGCTTCAAGTCTGCGCGCACCGAGCATTTCTGGCGTGTGAGCACTCAGAGCTAAAAACGCGGAACTAAAAGTCGCTCGTACTAGACTTCTTGTGGGGGCAGTCGGTCTGCGGGTTCGCGTCGAGCGCAGCGGCGGGTCTGGGCAGCACCACCAACTCGGAGTCCTTGGTAAGAAGCGTCGGCGTGGCTGTGTCGAGGGAATTGATAGAGTCAATGCTGGTCAATCTGCTGCACACGTCAATGGGAGTCAAACAAAGGTACGTACCGTAGTTGGCCGAGACGAGCTCGAAGCGGATGTCCTTGAAGGAGATCTTGTAGACGTTGGTGTTGCCGACGGCCTCGAAGCGGAACGCCAGGCGGGTCTTGTGCGCCCAGTGCGAGGTGGGCACCAGGTTGATGTTCGAGTAGTTGTACCACCTGCCGATCGTCGGCACCAGCCCGCCCAACTCGGCCTTGGCATAGGTCTGCAGCACGCACAGTGCGAAGGTCAGTGGCCCCGCTCTGTACGGCGTGAAGGTGGTGCGGGCAGTACCTTGGAGGTGTTCCACAGGGCGGGCGCATACTGGAGATTGGCCGGGGCCGTGTCGAGGTTGATGATGGTGGCCATGAGGCGCGTGAGGTTGCTGGCCTGGTTGGTCATCGAGTCGAAGCGCATCGAGAAGGACAGCCTGTAGACGCCGTCCGCGCGCAGGGCCGGAATCGACTCGTTGTGGACCAGCCAGAACACCTTGTTGGGCCACGCGTTGCTCACCAGCTGGATCGTCTTCTCCGTCACGTTGGGCGTCACCGTGCCCCAGTCTGCCACCATCACCATCATCGCCACGTCAGCATCAGAAATGTGATGAATGTGATAAAGCTGGGGTGGTGGCTTGGGCTGGACGTACAGCCCCACTCCCACTTGGCGGCCCACTTGTTGGGCAGGGCGAGGTCGCCCACGATCGAGCGGGCGGGGCGCACCGAGCTCGGGGTCCCGGCCGACCGGGTGAGGTCCACCGCCAGCGGGCCGGGGAAGCTCGACCCCGCGCAGAAGCGGTCGCCCGACTTGATCGACACGTAGCCGCTCGCACGAGCCACCGTCAGCATCAACCAGCATTGCAATGCGGGGGTGGGGGGCTAACCAGTGTTGAGGTTGCAGGCGCCATAGGAGTAGGAGGTGTTGGGGGACGTGAGGCTGCAGTTGCCCCCGATCCACACCTTGGCCGTCGACGACAGCGCGTTGAGGCTGCCCGAGTAGAAGGACTGGAATGTGCCAAAAACATGAACATGTGAGTCGTTGAAATGTGAGCTGTTGTGTTGCTGAAGTATATATGGATGAAGCGTACGTTGTAGTCGAGGGTGACGGTGCTCTGGGTGGAGGAGATGGACACGTTGGCCGTGGCGGACATGTTGAACTTCTTGATCTGGACGTAGCCCAGCGCGCACACCGTAGCCCTCTCCAGCACCGTCACATTATTGAGGTCCACCTCCGTCGCCGACGCTCCTGCCCGGTCAATGGAGAAGAAGACGAAGACGAAGAAGAGCAGGTTGTAGCGGTTGAGCTCAAAAGCCCTCTTTTTTTATCGGGTGCCAGTGAGACAAACGAGATGGTTCGTACCGGACCGGCAGAGGTCGACGGTGAGGCGCTTGACGGTGAAGGACCCGCCGACGAGACGACCGGTGAGCGAGGTGATGTTGAGGTTGTCAAAGTAGGAGCCCGGAGGAACGGGCAGGTCGGCGGCCAGCGCCGCTTGGTCGGGCACCACGACCAGCACGGCCAGGAGGCACACCGCCAGAGCCACTGATCAAGTCAAGGCCAACAGGTGGGTCAGCCATAGATCAGGAGAACAGAAACGATCCAATGTATAAGTGTAAGCCACGCACCAATGGATGTGCTCTTTTTAGGTCCGAGCATGGTGGATTCGGAGCTAAAAAACAATGAAGAGCGAAGGAAGGCAAGGAACGAAGAGAGAGAGAGAAGGCGGAAGGGCAGAAGCGGGCGGAGGCTTGGTCGGCCGCTGGTACGAGAGAGCAAAAAGACGCACAAGGTCCGCGCGATGTTTTGTGTTCGGCCGGTGGGTGCTCAGACTCCCACATGCCGTGCGACCATAACTCCAGGAAGGGAGAGAACCATTGGTTGGACCAGGACCGGCAACGCCAAACCAAGAAAAGCAGAACGGTCCTGACTCGCCCATTGGTCACCCAACAACAGTATAACAAATCGATCAATTAATGACGGTCTTATCCGCCAATCACATCCGTCCTGCAAACCAATCACATGTCTGCCACAAGATCTTCTGGCCTTGGGGCGGTTGGTCCAACCCACCCCCTCTGTACCACCGGGATCTTTCAACCCATCGTGTGCGCCCGGAGGCTGGGCCGACTGAGCTCTTGTCTGCGGACAACTCCGGCTGGAGAGAAGAAGACTTGACGAGCTAGCTGCAATTGTGAAGTCGGGGGTGTCATCATCATCATCTCGCGTAGAAGGTCCCAACAGGCCTGCTGGGCTAAAGAGGACCTGAGCAAGTTGTGCCCTGTTTCGTGTACTGTGTGTGGTATAACCACCTTGGCAGCCAATCACTAAAGAAGAATACTGTCTTTGGCCAACCAACCGGTGGCTGATGCAGTTCCGATCGTCCGTGACCACCAGAAGAGGATGAAGTTAGAGGCCGACATGAGGGCGGTGGCCCTGCTTGCGGTCTTCGTGGCCTGCGCGTTGGGCGATGAAACGATGGACCTCAACTACAAGAACCGCTCCATCAACGTTGCCCGGTCCATCTTGGTGTAGGATCCACTTCCAACCGACTCAGAAATTTGCTTGTGTTGTGCGGACATGTACAAACCACGCCAACGACTTGGACGGCAGCGTAGGCCAAAACAAAACAAAACAAAACAAAACAAAAAACAAAACAAAAAACAAAACAAAACAAAACAGAACAGAAAATTGAATAATGAAAAAGAGAGAATGGAGCAGGAGAGCACGACGGACAACACGACGACAGTGCATTTGGGGGAAGCGGAGAACACGTGTTCCGATGGGGGGACCGTGTTGTCGCGCTACGTCGACTTCCGCTTCAGTGGCTGATGTGGTGACCGCATCATCATCGTCATCTGAAGATTCTGCCGCAGCTCCGACCGCCACACAGAAAAAGCGGCGGTTCGTGGGCCGCAAGGGCCGCACGGCTGGCGCTGCCGGATCGGCCTCCGCCGGCGGAGCACCCTCCACCATCGTCACCACCTCCACCACTCCCTCCGGTACCCGATTTATAATTTATTTATCATTATTATTATGATTTATTTATCATTATTATAGTTTATCATATTTATCCTTTTTGTGCTTATTTATTTATTTATTTATTTATGTGACTAATTATGGCTTGGGAGGGGCGCAGGTGGGGCAAAGAAGGTCTACAGCGTGGCGAAGGGCATTCCGCCGGAGATCGAGAACGACCCCAAGCTGCGCAAGGCCATGGAGCAGGTTCGCTCAGCCACCACCGCACACGACGCACAACACCGCACACGCCGCACACGCCGCACACGCCGCACACGCCGCATACGCACTCACCTGCTTCGCGCGCAGTTGCCGTCGAACTACAACTTTGAGATCCCGAAGACGGTGTGGCGGCTGCGCGAGAAGGGGAGCAAGCGGGTGGCCCTCCAGTTCCCCGAGGGGCTCCTCGTCTACTCGTGCCTCATCGCCGACATCCTCGAAGAGTGCCGACCACCCACCCACTCCATCTGCGAACGTCGTTCCCTTACGCTCACGCGTGTGCGGTCGTGCGTGTGCGGTCGTGCGTGTGCGTGTGCGGTGTGTGCGATAGGTTTGCGGGAGTGGAGACGATCGTGATGGGTGACGTGACCTATGGGGCATGCTGCATTGACGACTTCACTGCCAAGGCGCTCGACGCCGACTTCCTCGTCCACTACGGCCACTCTTGTCTTGGTGCGCAACAGGGCTAGCCTCGTATCGTTGTGTCGTGTGTCGTGTGTCGTGTGTGATACTTTTGTGTCTGACTTAGGGGCCTTTGACTACAGTTCCGATCGACGTTACGGAGATGAACGTGCTCTACGTGTTCGTGGACATCAAGATCGACATCCTGCACCTGGTCGACACCGTCAAGCTCAACTTCCCCAAGGGCGCCAAGCTGGCCATGGTCGCCACCATCCAATTCTCCACCTCCCTCCAGGCATAGCCCCTCCCACCCGCCCCCCTTTGATTCGCGCCTTGCGGTGACCTGGGCGCTCACATCGTGGTGCGCGGCGCGTGCGACGACCTGCAGGCGGCCAAGCGACTGCTCAGCGCGGACTTTACCGTGGACATCCCGCAGGCGCGCCCGCTGTCGCCCGGCGAGATCCTGGGCTGCACCTCCCCCAAGATCAGCTCCATGGGCTACGAGGCTCTCATGTACCTTTCCCGTGTGTCGTGTGTCGTGTGTCGTGTGTCGTGTGTCGTGTGTCGTGTGTCGTGTGTCGTGTGTCGTAGCTGACGATAGCTGGTGATGGTGTAGATATCTGGGCGACGGCCGGTTCCACCTGGAGTCGATCATGATCTCCAACCCGTTGCTGCCAGCTTACCGATACGACCCCTACAGCAAGATGTTCACCATCGAGAAGTACGACCACGCCGAAATGAAGAAGATACGCGGCGACGAGGTGGAGAAGGCCAAGGCCGGCAGGAAGTGGGGCATCATTCTGGGCTCCCTCGGCCGACAGGGCTCGCCCAACATCCTTCGGGTACGCACACCGCACACACGGCACACACCACACAAACCGCACACACGGCACGTGTTAACAGTTCAATTCCAAAATGCAGCACTTGGAGTCACTGCTGAACGCGCGGAACGTACCGTATATGGTGGTGCTCCTCTCCGAGATCTTCCCCGCGAAGCTCGAACTCTTCCCCGACATCGACGTGTACGCCACTCTCTGTGTGTGTGCGTGTGTGTGTGTGTCGTGCGTGTCGTGTGTGTGTGTGTGTGTGTGCGCGCGTGTCGTGCGTGACGCTTGGCTGACGCGACGATGGCAGGTGGGTGCAGATCGCGTGTCCGCGCCTGTCGATCGACTGGGGCTACGCCTTTGCCAAGCCTCTGCTCAACCCCTACGAGGCCGAGGTGGCGCTGGACGGGATCGCGTGGCAGGAGACCTACCCGATGGACTTCTACGCCAAGGACGGCGGCGCCTGGGCCGTCTATCACAAGGCCTAAGAAAAAAGCGATTGGTCTATTTTATTTAGGCAAAAATTACGGTTGGTGCTGGTGCAGGGCGTGGGCGAGTTGGAGGTGGAAGGAAGTCAGGAGGTCCCTGTCCCGGTCCCTTCCCCGCCGCAACTGCTCGTTCTCCCGCTCCAGCGCTTCGTTCCTGGACTGACACGCCTCCAACTTTGACACACGACACGCGCCACCGCACACAACCGCACGCCACATGACACGCGCAGGTAAGCAATAATAATGATAAATACACAAAAAGAATAAAAATACGACGCGTCAATCAAAGCTGTACCTGGGCGTGTAGGGTTCGCATCTCGGCGCGCAGGGCTTCCAGCTCATCGCCGCCGCTCGCCGCCGCCTGGTCGACGCATTCGAAGTTGCTGTGGAGCAGGTCTTCGCTCGGCTCGTCTTCTCTCGACGGCAGCAGGAGGGCGCCGCCGGCGCTCTTGGGCGTCGTCGCCGCCGTCTCCTTCACCTCTGCTTCGTCCGGGTGGTGCGTGCTCGCAGCAGCGGCCTCGGCTTCGTTCGACTCCTTCGTCGGCGGTTCGGCGGTGGAGCTCCCGCTGCTGCTGGTGGTGGTGGTCGTGGTCGTGGTGGGCACGGGCGTCGAAGGCGAGAGACTGGCCGACAGCGAGTACGGCTCGGTCTCGTCCAGCTCGGTGCTCCACTCGTGGATGCCGCCCACGGGCTGGGGCTTGAGCTTGGCCTTCGGCTCCGCCTCGCCGAGCGCAGCGGCCGGGAGCGCCGTCGCCGACACCGACGGCGATGACCTCATCGTCAGCAGTGGGTCGTCAACTTCCTTGTTGTCGACATTGCCCAGGTTGTCGTCATCGCCGGCGTCGGCGTTGGCGTCGCGATCGGCGACGTAGGGGGCCTCCGCGTCTCGCTTCTGCGGCTGCTGGTCGTGGTGCTCGTCGTCATCGTGGGCGGCTGCCAGTGGCTCCTTGAGGGCCAGGTTGAGGTTGAACGAGAGCGGGGGGCACGAGTCGGGGTTGAACGCCGGCGCGAGCGTGTAGGGCAGCGTCTCCATGTCGTAGGCGGTGCCCTCCTCCTGCGTCTCTCTTACTGTGGCGGTAGGTCAGATCCGTCAGTCTGACAGCCAGTGTGTGCGTGTGCGGTGGTGCGTGCGGTACCGGTGTGCGGGCTAATGAAGAGTTGCGAGTAGTTGAGCGTCGCCGCGGTTTGGTCCTCGCTGCAGCCCACCAGCACCTCGACCACCGAGTTCACCCTCTGCTTGCTCGTCGTTGTCGTCGTCGTCTGGTGTTGGCTCTGCTTGTCCACTCTCACCTTTTTCCGTTTGGCGTTCGCCGGATCGCGCGCATCGTCAGCGCTGGTCGGCTCCTGCGGCTGTGGCTGCGGCGGGTCGGCCTCGTGGGAGGCCGGGTTGGTGGTGGACCCGCCCGTCGTCATCGTCGTTGTCGTCGTCGTTGTCGCGGCCTCCCTGCTGTTCCGGCGCTTGCCCAGGATGTTGATGATCAGCGTGCTGTCGCTCCGCATCTGCTCCAGCCGCCGCATCCGCTCGAGAATGGTCGGGCTCGGCGGCGCCACCTTGGCCTCGGCCCCTGCGGCCTCGGCCTCCGCTTCGGTCTCAGCCGCTGCTTTCTCCGGCGGCGGCGGCAGCGGCTCGGTCGGCGTTGGCTGGGCTGTGGCCTTGGCCGGTCTCTGGTCCACTTCGGCGACGCCGACGGTGGTGGTGGTATTCGTCGAGGTGGCGACCCACGAGTGGAAGCCGCAGCGGAGATGGGGCAGCGGGTGGTTGCACGACCAGAAGTGGCGCGACTTGGTCTTGCTGTACTGGCGCACGCACAGCAGCGCATGCTGACGACACGCCGGCGGACCCACCTGTAGCACCGAAGGCGAAGGCGAAGGCGAAGTCGAAGTTGTCGATGCGGTTGATGACGACGACGATGAAGATGAAGATGTAGTTGTTGAGGAGGATGGTGCAAGTGTGATGTTGCCAGTGAGGGGAGCAGGGTTGAAGAAGGAAGAGGTGGTCGATGATGAAGTCGACAGCTTCTTAAGGGCCAGCGGCGCCTTGAAGCGGAGGCCGGGCGACACTGCCCTGCTCTGCTGTCTCGAGGGACCCTCCTTGCTTCCCGAAGCTTCGTTCTTTTTCCTTCGCGGGCTCGTCAACGCCGTCTCTTCGCTCTTTCTCGACGCATTCGTGGTGGGGCTCTTGGGGGAGACGACAGCCGCCAGCGACGGCGTGGGGCTGGCGTGCACCACGATGACCTCGGCTGGTCGCGGGCCGTCCTTCTTGCTACGTAGCGTGGTCGGCGACTTCGTCTTTATGTTGGCCACGCCGTGATCGCCGTGGTTGGGAATGTCGTCTTCGTTCTTTTCTTCCTCTTCCTCGTCGTCGTCGTCGCCATCGACAAAGTGGCCGGACGAGAAGAGGCCAGGGTCGGTGGCGTTCTTGGCGGCGGCCGCCGCCGCTCTCTGCTGCTTCTGTCGCTCGGTCCTGCTGTGCCGTTCTCTCTCGCGCAGCACCCGCATGCCCAATCTGTCCGTACAGGCATGTAAAGCAAAAAGTGAGGCACTCAGCGCCCACAGCGCGTGCAGCACAAGTGGCGGGCACGAGGGGTGAGCTCAGCGGTACCGCTGGAAGATGCGGTTCACGCGGCACACGTTCTGGGCCAGGCTCTTGTTGTCCACGAAACGCAACGCATGGCGCCACACCGACGCCGGCAAGCCGCCTACCACCATCGCTGGCGCCTCTGCAGTTATTGTTAATTAAACAATTCTTTTAATAACTAAATGAATAAATAAATAGAACAGGGTAAGGCAATATTTATTATAATATATAATATATATAATATATATAAAAATAGAGGCGTACGGGTGGCTGGCGAGGCTGCCCTGGGCGCGTTGTGGGCGCTCTTAGAGTAGTAGGCATCGATGGTGGTGGTGGAGAGGGCGGGGGACTTGGGCCGCTCTTTCCTCTTCTTCATCCACGGCCCGCCCCCTTCCTGTGTTTTGGAGTCGGAGGGTTCTCGCACGACTAACGTCCCACCCACTACGCTCAGTTGCTTCTTGGCTTGGCCGTCCAGCGCCTTGTTTGCTGACCCTTCATCGTGTTCATTCTGCTCCGCATTTTCGAGATTTGCAGATGAACTCGAACTGCTGTCCTCCTGGCTTGGCGGCACTACGATTCTCTTGGTCTTTCTTCGCTTCCTGTGCTGTTCTCCCTTGCCATCTGTGCTGAAGACAACATTGCCCTCCAATTCTCTGCACAGCTGCGTCTCTAACGACATCAACTCGTTTCCAACTTTGACCTTGCGATGGCGGTCGTCAGATTTATTACCAAGAAAAAATTATGGCCATGGGGGAAGAGCCCAAGCTGAGGGAGTGCCACCTTGTCGTCCTGGCGTTGGCAAGGTACTCTGTCCCCAGGTTTGATGGGTTGTCGGCTTGCCCAGCTCCCTCAGGGGAAGTATTGTATAGTTCGGCTTGTCAAGCTGCCCCAGCAGAGAAAGCGCAAGGGTTCAGTTTCCGGGAATTCCACCCCACTTTAGTTCTATCTGGCCGCTGTGCCCCAAACTGCTGGAAATCGCTCTGGGTTTGAGCTGGTGGTGCCCAGAGGCTCTCAAGCCTGGGCAGTTACATTGCGCGTTGGGTGTATGAGCGCGTCAGCGTAGTCAGGCGCGCTTGGCGGAGATCTCCCAAACTCCTGGCTACTCACCTCCTTTAAAATGTTGTGGCCGATGGGCAGTATTCTTTATCAAAACACACTCAACCCTCACCCACAAGAACCCTTCAACCCAATCTTCCCCCTCATCAGCAATGAAGTACATCACACTTGCGGTCGTCTTCGCGGCCTTGTTCTGCTGCGCCCTGTCAGACTGTAACGTGAGCATCAAGCAGACCCTCGGCAGCGCCTGGCAGCAGGAGGGCAAGAGCCTCTCCCAGTGGAACGTCCAGCTCACGGCCGGCTCCGAGGCCGTCAAGTCGCTCGAGCTCTCCATCACCGGC